ACCCAAACCATTATTTTTTTCTTAACCTTAACTGTGAAATCTGTTTCTGACAGAAACGTCACAGATAGGACAACGCTGCAGGTGAAAGTAAGAAACTCAAATGTGTGAATGAAAATGATAAGGACATTTTATTTTGTCTCCATCTTTGTTGCCACGTGATCCTTGTATTTAAGCACTGGAAGGAAGTCTTCTTAATATTTCTGGATATCTTTTCTCTGTCTGTGGAGCCACAGTGACTCTGACTGCCCTTTCCAAACAAACACTCGTCAGTGTTATTTGAAATGAAAAGCACACTACTGCCTGTGCAACTGAAAATGCTGGAGTATGAATATTCAGTCTTTGTGTCGGAGATTTTTGCATGTGACCAAAATATACCTTTTTCTTTCTATATGCACGTCACTCCTTGGTCATGAGAAGTTTTCATCTTGTGTCACTTAAGCTGTTTGCAAATTTCCCTTTGCTGTCACTGCTGTTCGCTCGGTGCAACAACTGCTGCTGCTCTTCATCAGCTGTCATGCATGTGTGACTGGTAGTGTTGTGCTCGAGGATGGTTGGTAGTATGAGTGGGAAGGATGGGCCAGCATTATTGATCTTTAAGATTTAAAAAAAATGCACTCAGAGCAGCTGCAAAAAAGAGAACAAAAAAAAAACATCATTTCAGCCCCTCCGCAAACTTCGGCAGTACACAAAACACTGGCCCTCATTCTCCTGGACCGCAAAGAACAGGCTGCAACCTGTTCGCTGTCTTCCAAAACCTTTTATACCCTGTCACCTGCTGTCTGCGGCCAATCAGGGAAGATCTCTGGAATTAGTGCCGCTTTGACCCAGGTGGCATCAATTTACCTTCATTTGGAGCTCAGTGTTACTCATTTGTACTCTGACAAAAGTTTGAATCAAATGTACCCTCTTAAGAGGCAGAATCAAAAAAATAATACAAGAAACATTTTAAAGGGGAAGTGCACTTTGTCTTCTTAAAGGATCAGGCAGGTCAGGGAATTAAAGTCCCCCTAAAGAAAACCTGTGTGAGAAGAAAGTCTTAACATGAGTGACATCATTTCTCAAACATCATTTGAGGCTTCAACCATCAATATATCACTCTGAGTTAGAACGAGACGGAAAGAGACTGACACACTAAACCTACTGACCTTTATTTCGACCCTTATTCATAACACGCCGGCCACATGTTGTTATGGGGAGAACAGAGAAGAGGTCTGGCTTTCCAGAAACTGTATGTACAGTAAGCACATTTGTAATCCTGTAAAAACACAACTCAGCCATGTGTTCAAAAATACTTTGTGAGATCCACAGGGGGAAACACTGCGATTCTCAGTCATAAAAGGCGACCAGTCGACTGTGGTTTCGCAGGAGTTAGAAGGGCGGCAGCAGCAGTCCTGTTTTGACAGTAAATGACATGACGTGAAACTACACTTAATGACACGAGGTATATTACAGCATGAACTCTGTTTTCTGTTTTGTTTGGCGTTGGGAGTTTTGTTTTTCACTGACCTTGGGGGACAATTTCAGTCACATTCAGAGAGACAAAACTTGTTTCATGTCTCAAACAGAACAAATTTCTGTTGACAGGGCTAATTGCTAAGTGTGTGGTTGCTGATCTCGAGGCCAAAGAACCACTTTTGGTCGTTCCACTGAAATTTGTATAACTTACGCGCGACCACAAAGTCTTTTTCTCTACATTGACGCCGCTCTCTGGTCATACTGTATCCATTGTGCACAGTTTCAGTGTGCTGAGATTTTCTAATAATAGAATATCAACTACTTGGCAGGCAGGACTGCATTTAAAGATTCCACCTCCTTTGAAAAAGGGGCTGGGCTTTGCAAAAGGGAATTCTATGTTTCATTTTGAAGTTATTGGTCCAGTTCCAAGACCATCTAGCCTCCAATGATCAAAGGTTGAGTCAGAGAAAGGCCTAGCGGGAGGCTTATGCAAAATGTCGTCCCCTTATTGCGAATCGGCCGACACGTTGGAAACCATCAGCGCTCGTTTAAATGTCAATATACCCAGATGCAGTTTGGCTGTGCTTGGTCAAGTTTGAAGTATGTGGATGGGAAAAAAAAGGAAAGCTTCTTGCTCGCATAAATAGAATTTGGAGGATTTCGAAAGTTGCATTGATTAAATTCCTCGACCAAGGCTGATTTTAACTCCCAGTAAATATCTGCAGACAGGATAAAACTTTTAAAATTTATGAGAAACACTGTCCTAAAAGTATTTATTTATAGTTCCTCTAAACTTTTTAAAGGGTCACCTTGTTGCCAGGACACATTTAATACATAGTCTGTGATTGCTGTTTGTTGCAGGGAATCTTTTCTCTCAACAAAATCATCATCGGTACACAGAGGAGATAAGAAGCAGATGATGACAAGATGAAGGGACATAAAACACTCCTTGAAATCCTGCAGTCATCTCACCGCTCCCTCCTCCCTCCCCGCCACCCTCCCCCTCCCCCTCCCCCTCCCCAGACAAGCAGGATCTTCAGCAATGATCCATTATGTTAATGGCAAATTACTGGGTCACACATCAAGCACCATGTTTCCACCTTTAAAAGCAGGCCAGACGTCCAAAATCCCATGACAGAACGGGGGGACTTCTGGGACTGTTGGAGGTAACTACCGGAATGGAGGGAGGAGGGGGGGGGGGGGGCTGATCGTATCGCTAGGAATTTAAACAAAAGTATTTTTTTTCTCCCTCAAAGCCGCCATCTTTCAGTCTGACGGTTACTGTAAACATCATTCCAGCACACAGCATTATAAGACATGCTACTCCACATTCCTCCTGCGCTTTTAAAAGACGGAAAAATGTCTAAAATATTGTATGTTTACTGCTCTGAAGAACGGAGTGTTCACATCAAAGTAAGTCGTGTTTTAAGTGCTCCTTAGGTTAGCAAAGGCTGATTGTCTTTCGACAAATACTGAATTTAGTTTTTGGGGATGGGACTTCTGTGACACTTATCTGTGATGCAATATTTAATCCCATTTCTTGACACTGAAAAAAAGAACACATAAGAGATAAAACGTTACCTTCTTTGCCAAAAATAGTTTTTAATTATGTAATGATGTCGATGTTTAAAAAAAGCACCAACTGTGAACACTCATTGCCCTTCATGTTGATATAAAAAGCCTTCAGAGATGTTGCAATGTGCCTTTTTTTCTCAATTTTAAAAACCACTGACCTTAAAAGCAGTGCTCACACTTTGGGTTTGTATATAAAAATGCATACCTTGGCAGTATGCAGAGAAGGGAATGTACTCTATGTCCAACCAAACGCTACCTGCAGCATTTCTCTTTTAGGCAGTATGATATTCAACGTGCACATCTTCAAACTACAGTCTAAACCGGGACATAAAGGCACTTTTGCCATTCTCCACACTGAGCAATAAAGACATAAAGTGGGTCTTTTTTTAAAATATAGTCCTCATTTTATTAACAGAGGCCAAATAAAACTCATCACATTTTATTTACAAAGGGAGGCAATAAATATCTTAATAATAGTCATAAAATTATTTTTGCTTACATTTGTTTAAAAAAAAAAAATCATAAATGTGTCATGTTGTTAGTAGCGACTCATACAAAAACCTGCCAGCAGACAGGTGAATACATACTACTGGTGAAAAGAGGCTTGTCGTCAGTGACAGAAGGAATGATAGAAGCACAGACTTTCCCCTTTGCGAGTCAGACTCGACCACAAGTCCCCGGAAATGTCACCATAATCCTGGACATGTTGGGTTTTCTGGGTTTCTCGGGAGAAGTCTTAATTGTCAAATGTGGATTTGTGAAGTGATCAGGGGTGTTCAGAGCTACAGTATTCCTGTGTGTGGATCACTGATCTGACAAAACAAGCACAGGGATAAGCTTTCCCAAAAGCATCTTTGAGACTTTCATCCAGTGAGAGTGAAAGGAGCGAAGATGAGCTCACAGTCGAAAGATGATTTTGGAAGGAAGGAGAAAAAAAAAGAAGAGGAGCTCAGTTCAGCTCAGCGTCAACTGAAAGGTTCTTGAGATTAACTGAACGCAGACAGTCAGACTAGGTGAAGATAAACAAAAAAGAACAAGGAGGTAGAGGAAGTCTTCATCACCAGCCCCAAAATATTAGCTAGCTCACACTCAAAGAATCAAGGCATCCTTTTCTGGAACAACTTTAACACATGTGAGAAAGAGCTGTTAAAAATCCAAGGGGGAGAGACGAGAGGGATTAACATCCGTCTCCCAAACGTGATGAAGTTGGAAGACATTGTGGAATTATGAATCACATCAGGGGTAATTTTTTTTGTTTGTATTGTTTTCTTTTTAGGTGTTTAAACAAGACTAAAGCCACGGCTGGTGCCCGACTAGTCAAAGCATGTCGTGTTTTAGCTGAATCACAGGCTGCATGGAAATGTCAAGGAAATCACACACAGTACTCGGAGGGTTCAGCGCATTCCAGGAGCCACGAGTGGAGCTGAGGTTGAGAGACGTATGGAAAAAAAAAAAAAGAGGAAGAGAAAGAGAGAGACCTGTAAAATATTGCACTCAAAGCTACACAGTTATCCCGGCAGTGTCACCTGTGACTGCCACCTCTCTCCGTTTCATCTCCATGGTGTCTGATTCCAGTGGAAAGTATGGGATCCGCGTTGTCAGGGGCAACACAAACAAAAACCGACAGGTATTCCAATAAATCTCTAGTTGGCTGATTTTTATAACATTGCGTCAGCTCCTGCTTCAGCCCCCATTGTCAAAAAGAAAGTGGGCCTTCAGCTTGCAGTTCAAACGTAGCTGAGGACGACGGCGACAGGAATTCTCTCAGAGGTCCTTTAGTTTATCCAGTATAAATAACATGACAGACACGTTAGCACAATGACATCAACCCAGAAGAATCCAAGAGTTAGGAAATATTCAGTCATCCTGAAATACAAAAATAAAACATCTTTGACTTTTTTTTTTGTTCTTTTTGTCTGTCTCTTTTACAGAAGTGAAGTCTTTAAGGTGATTCTTTTAAGACAAGAAGCTTGAGATTTTCAGTTACAGTATTTCTTTTTTTTTTTTTTTTTCCCCGAGGAAAATTAGTGCTGTCCCATTGGTCCCATCAGTTCCTCTTGGGGTTGGGTTTTAATCGCCGAGCCCTTCGTGTCCGCTTAGTCACTGTGGTGAAACGAAACTCCTCCAGCGGGTCCGGCCTGCCCTTCGGCTGGCGCTTCATGAAGTGGACTTCCTGTTGCCTCTGCGTGGTCCGCGAGCCTTTCTTGGGCCGCCCCTTCCTGTTGAAGCCCAGGTACCATCCTTTGTACTTGGCTGACACAAGAGCTGTGTAGTTGTTCTCCAGGAATTCCTCGACAAAGACGCACTCCTGCTTCCTTCCATCGGGCTGAAAGAAGGAAAGAAAATAGAGCATTAACTCATTATGAACATGACAGCGTGATCTCTGTTTAACATTCTGGCTTATTTCTGTTGCATCAGTGTGTTCAGGCTCAGATTGGTTTGCTTCTCTGCTGGAGGTTTGTATTTTCCATTTTAGTGTAAAACAGTTTTAAGTCTAAAATGCTGGTTATTTGTTAAGAACATGAATTTTCCTTTGTGAAGTCAAACGCCATTATAGAAAAGATCATCCTAAGAGTTAGGAGTTGTTGTCGTGTATCAATGATTTTCATCACCTGGAGAGGTTGGAAGGAGATACGCATTTTTTCCCCGTTCCAGTACCAAAATCGAATCCCAAAAAGTGTAGGGTTAGCTAGCTAACTAAGGTATAGCCTACTGAATGTGTTGTAGTGGTCATCTGTAGCCTGTAGTTCGGCTTTAGCTTCTGTCTATCTTTGTCTTTTTAACCTGTTGTTGCTGCTGAGTCAGTTTGACATCCTCGATATATCCTTTAATACATGTTGTAGACTCCTCTGTCTGCTTCTCTGTGAATTCGATTTTTAATTTTTCCCAAAAAATTGATAATATTTCTTAAGGTCGTGCCATTTTTGTAGTGTGGGCTCCATGCTAGCTCCAACAGCTTGACAACCATCACAAAGAGGCAGGACTTTGCAAAGGGTTGACTGACCAATCCTAACCCAAAAATTCATAATAGAAAGCTTCATGATTGAATTGTTTGCAGTTCGAAGTGTCCTGTCAACAGCTTTATCTCTTTTACAGTTGTGTTCTATGGGGAAATGCTGCAATACCACGAGTGGCCACTGGAAAAAACTGAGCTGCATTCCTGGGGGTCTGGAAGCTACAAACTGAGGTGCCACAAATCAAAGTTGAGCTGGCCTCAACTTCTTTTCAGCGCTCCAATGATGCCGTTAAGCGTCAACCAGTCATATTGTTTGTTTCTAGCTGTGGTGCTGTGTTAGTTAGCTTACTTAGCTGATGCTATGCTAGCTTACTGTGCATGATGGTGCACATGGGGATGCAAAATGTGACGTTAAAATGGGGCTCTGGCATCAATTGATTGACTAAATTGATTGATTAAATACTAACTTTAGATGATGTCCACTCAAAGTGTATAGTTGCAAGTAGCAGACACACACAAGCCTGTGGCGACATAACTATGCTAACAGGCACTTAAGCAACAGTTCAACGACGGTTCAGCAATAATGTAGCTGGTCACACGTTGTCGCCCATCGTATGAACACAGCATTGGGAAAGGGTAATTCCATGTCTGAAAGCCAAATATATAGTGAGAGCCAGGAGACGGTTAGCTTAGCTTAGCATTAAAACTGGCAGTGTAGCTTTATAATTACCAGAGAGGTGACAGAGTGCTATCAACCTTCTCATCGAACTTTGACCAAAAGTCAAACTATTGCTTTAAGATACTGAACTATAGGCCTATTTTTATGATTTTTTTTTTTAACTGATGCACTGTCCTGTACTATGCTCACGGTTCACACCTTTTACAATTAGATACCTTGGATGTTATGCGACTCTACAACAGACTTTTTCTTTGGAAGTAGAAAGAAGTTCCACTGAAATCTATTCACAGAGAGGTCTGCGGATTATCCGAGGAAACAGCACAGTGCTGCTGGACTTCTAAAAACAGGGTGGTAGTAAATATCTGAGACATATCTCAAAGCCGGGCCCATAAAAATATGATTATCTGCATGTCTTCATAGCAGAAATGATAAGTCAAGAAATATTTTTTGCTTCTCTTTTTTCTTTAATTTAGGTGAAAAGACCTTTTAAAACCGTGATGCCAACATTGGGGAGTTTACTGAATGTGTCCAGAATTTCTGTGACACACAGAACAACTTATTCTTATCATTAAACAAGCTGAAAGCCAACAGCAGTCAACAATTTAAATGTCATTTTATCCGATTGTTAAAATAATCCTACGGTGGTTTACAGGAGGAAGTTGCAGCACATTTTTTAAACAAATGAGGCCCCTGCAACTAAATCTAAAAAATGCATGTTTCTAACAGATGACCACGATGAGAGAGTGAAAACGTGTGTGAATAACTGCAGCCCCTGCAACGCTGACAGCATGAGTTATTAATGCAACAAAATCACACGTGTGCCTCCGCAGTGTACGTTTTCAAATATTAACTTCTTTTCCATATCGAAGCGGTCGTCCGCAGAGTCACATGCAGTCATCCCGCGCTTGTGGCCACCTGGTGTGACTAAGTGATATAATTGCAATGGCATTCCTCCTAAGTGACCATTAGTCTCTCAATGCATTGTGGTGATTGCAGGCCGTAATTGACTGATCGAGTGTCAAAGGAGTAGGCCGATTACGTAATGGAAGAAGGGCTGTGAGTTATCAAAGGGGTTTTGTTAGGGTGTACAAAAACAGCAGGAGAAAGCAGATCTGAGGCTCAATTCAGCCTGGATTAAGAGCTCCAGTTAAAATATTCATTTTGATATCAGAAAGTGGTGATTTGATCTTGTCAGTTAAAATATTGAGCTTCTATTGAAGTCATTTTTTATGATATTCCAAAAATATAAAGCAAAAGATACTCACCCTTCCTACTATTTTGCCCTTCTCGTTCATGCAAATGTAGTGTTCGCTCTCTTTTCCTTTTATTCGAATGTGGCTCCCGAAGGTTTCTGTCTCGACAACAAGGAGAGCTGGAAAAGAAAAGAAGAAGTAGACTCTGTTAAGAGCATGTATAAGTCTTTCTGCTCATATAAATAAAACATTTAAGAGTTCCCATACATTTAAACATATCTGGTATGTTTATCTCACTTATGGTCGACAGTGTCTGGGCTCCCGTACTTTTTTCAATACTGTTTTTTTGAGAGCCCACATATTTAATCGTATTTAATTTCCAGTCCTGTAAAGGAACCGAAGCACTCTACATTTGAGCCTCATCAGAGCCTCATAAAGAAAACTTTATTAAGCCTACATTGTGCACTAATGTAATTGTTTATCAAGTTTATATTTCATGAATACATTTTTCATCATATACACCACCACAAACAAAGGAGTCAACCACCAATATTGGTTGCACCAGAGATTAAATTACCTTTAAACACATCAAGGATTACAAGAAAAAAATTATCTTAATAGCTGAAAATCACAAACAAACAAAGCTCTGTAAACTCCAGGACATGGATTTGTGATTTTCGGCTACAGAAATAAATTTGCCTTGACTTGACACACACTGCAAACACTGCACGAGCATCATTTTTTCTGTACATGTGGAAAAATATTATGTTGTAGCCTGTTTTTAATTAGAAAATAAGGACCAAGTAATTGTCTCCAGAGCAAATAATTATTCCAAAGGTATACTGAGTGTATATCTTTCTTTACACAAAACCATATATGCACCAGAACAACAATACCGCCGCCACTTGAGCCTGACACAGCAGTAATCCACTCTCGAGACGCATCCCGGCGGCTCTTTTATTCACCCCCTCCCACCCCCCAAATGTTAACCCCCGCGAGGTCACCTTTGTCTCTGCTTGCCCCTCAACCAGCAAAGAGATCTGCCAAACATTTGTGGAGCGGTTATGTGCCCCTCAGGATTAGGTTTCAAGTTCCCTTTAGTCTGTGCTCACTCAATCAAAAAGTTAAGATGATCCATTTGTTTAACACACAGGGCCATTCAGTAGCGCTCAAGGGAGCAGAGGAAGAATAGGCGAAGGGATGGGACGGGCTCGGGGGCAGAAGTAACTCCCCCCCCTCACCCTAACATCCAACCTTGGGAGGAAGGTTGGAAGAAGGAAACCTGTCTAATAGGTGAAACTTTAGAAGTGATTCCTCTTTTTGTTTTGAGAGATTTCTGTTATGTCTTATTTGGTTGCTAGCACAATATTTGTGGCTTTATTTTTTGATCACTGGAGAAGATCAGTCTGGACCTTTTTGAGGTCCGTGAGAAGGGAAAAAAAAATCCTGGTATGTAACGAAGTGAACGATGTTTCAAGAGATATTTCAGCTCTGCAAGTCAAATCAGGAGTCATTTGACAACACTTTGGCCTTCTCGCTCTTTGCTGGTTTTGCACGGAGACCCAAAATTCAACCTCAGCTATGAGGCCTCGACCCAGAACATCAGATAAAACAATATTTTCCTCCCCTCTCTGAGTTATCCTCTGTCTGTGACCCCTGATGGCAAAGCACCAAAAGTGGAGTCATGTCTTTTTATCTGAACAGCATCCACAAGCAAATCTCTTTGAGTCAGTGAGTGGTCAATGTGATGTTTTGTATATTAACGCCGGGTATTCCTTTAAACAATTCTCACGCTCAAGACTCCACTGGCAGCCGTAGCTGGCGGATAAAAAGGCAAAACTGAAAGAATTCTGACAGATATTTTAGAATATCTGATCAGTTTTAAATATAATCCCATTTTTAGTTATTTCATAACTTGTGCAATGTTTTCTACTTTGGTGCAGCCGGCATTTATTGACCTCAACTTGGGGTCACCTTCCAAAAAAGCTGATTCTCCTGCTTTAATTCCACAGTGCAGCATCTCTCAGTTTAAAAGCCGTTGTTGTGACCCTCCATCTGCTCTGAGAGGACAACAGGTGTCATTTATGACAGATTGTTCTGTAAAAAAATGGCTCTCGTCTTTTTAAAGTAATGAATATGCTACGCTAATACTAAGAAGAATGATAACAGCCACACTCTGGCTGCACTGATATGGACCTAGTGCGACACTGAAGTGATATATTTCTTCTGCAGCGGTTTGCAGTCCTCTGCCGTGAAGCTGCAGTGACTGAGAGTGGATCAGAGCAAGCACAGTATCTTCTTATTAGTGAGTGCAAAGGAGTTCACAGGTGCCAGGTACTGCAGCTGGATGGGGAGGAGGAGGAAGAGGAGGAGGGCGGGGGACTGGAGGAGGAGGAGGAGGAGGAGGAGGAGGAGAAGGAGGGGCGGAGGGTAGAATTGGCAAGGCCTCATGGGAAAAATTGGATCTGCTTCCACTCAAGCTCTAACAAGCAGTGAGGAAACTTCGCCTCGGCGCATCTGCGACTGAACACACTCACTCAGAGGCATTCAAGACCAGCAATTTTCGAGCCGTGAGTCAGCTGTTATGAGCATAATATCTGCAGGAAAGCACAAAACAAGTCCTGTTGCCTTGTGTTTGCTGCCGCTGCATCAAAGAGCGCTGCACTGACCTGCAATTTACCCATCCGCCGCATTTGTTTTGATTTGAAATTGTGAACAAGTCCACACAGAAAACAAAGACGGATGTACTTAAGGTTGATAGAAGCATACCTTTAGGTGTAAAACAAAATCTGTCAAATGGCTTTAGTCACTGTTGTGTGTAACAAGTTGGAGCGAGGTACTTTTATACTGCTCGACAAATCAAACTGGTTGCCCATATTCAACAATAACTATGACAATGACCAGAGGTGGGACCAAGTCTTTGTGTTGCAAGTCACAAAAACAATGTCAAGTCTTTGCACTCAAGTCCTAATTCAAGACTGACAAATCCTACGTCAAGTCCCAAGTCAAGACTGGCAAGTCTCAAGTCCCAAACTTTGAGTTTCGAGTCCTAAACAAGTCATAACTCAGAACTCTTCACCAAATGTAATGCCATTTTAAAACAGAGCAATATTTTAAATTTACAAAATCATACTGGTTTTAAAAATGTGGATTTTAATCATTAAAACAAGTTTGTTGCAAGTTGGACATTTCGCATATTGCACTTTGTTTTTTGTTGACCACGCATTACTTCATCATAACTTTTTCCATCTGGCGCTCAGTAACGTAACTTCAGCTATTTACGGTTCTCTTCTGCAACTTGATTGGATGTTGCTGGACTGGTTTGAACAAAGAGGGTCGAATGAGGAATTAAGTGTCGACTCACTGGGAATAAAGCGTTAACATTTGTTAAGACAGGAAATTAGAGTGAATTAATTGCTTTATGGCACACTTTTAAATAACATACTTATTCATCTTTGGGCTTGGGAGAAGGTATCAAGTATTTTCAGGTCAAAAAGCTTAAGTCCAAGTGAAGTCACGAGTCATTGGTGTTTAAGTCCAAGAAAATCTTTTGTCAAGTCGAGTCTAAGGTCATCAAACAAACATTTAGTTTTTCTTTCTTTGGTCCTTTCAGGTTCAAGGACAACACAGTCATAGATGTAATGACTTGCATTTTCCAATATGGACAGTCAGATTCCAATTACTCATTAAAACACCAACATTTTCTGATAAATTATGAGACAATAAAGTTGAGTAATGCCTCAGAGTTGCATCCTATAATAACATAAAAGCTCATAGCCTAACCCTTACAATCAGCAGTAAAGAATATTTTGCAGAGTGGGAAACCAACAAGTCAGTTTTGATCCATATGAGGTATTCTGGCAAAAATTCACAGTGTTGGCCTATAAATCTATCAAGGTAAAAATAGACTTGCTCTGGATACCCAAAGGCTGCAGTAAACATCCATTGCAAGGTCAGCAATTTCATTCTGTTTCCAGCCACCCCGACCGGCCAACCAGTAGTTGGTGGCTTGAGAAAGTCACTGTCCTCTTCACCCAGGTCAAACACAGAGCATGGAAAACAACCTCCACACAATGGGTAGTAAACAGCCAAAGTGGCAGGAGGGAGTGAGGCAGGATCTCAAGAAGCACCAACATCTGGCTGGTAGGTGGTGGTGATTTCTCATCCTGTTATAGCAAACTAGCTAAAGTGTCAGGTGAGATGCACAGGAGTTCTCCCATACCATACTTGCCCCCATCATCTCCGTTGGCGTTGACTTTCTTCCCCAAGATCTGGACGTGTTTCCCCGTGGTTCTGCTGTAGAGCTGATAGATCCGGACCTGCTTCCGGCTCAGGTCGTCCGGGTTCCTCGTGTGGTTCTCAATGTAAAACCTGAAATCAGCAGAGGTCTGCTGGGATTCCTGCACAGAGGTGTGAGACAGGCGGAAACAGAGAGAGAGAGCAGATGAAGAGAGCGAAAGACAGACAGTGAGAGATCGTCACAGCACAGGTGTTGATAGTAATATGTGCTGTTGCTTTTATGGGCCCTGTGTCAAAAAAATTGTACTTCAGGGGTTTAAAAACTGAGCAACCAACCAGGAAATTGTGGCTGCAGCATTTTAGTGTTTCTCTTCCTGCTTTCAACTGGCACATTTTATATGCATTGCATTTACAAGCTGATAAATACGCAACAAGATGTGTTAATGAAGTCACAGGTTTGAGTAAAAATCCCACAGAACAAGTGCAAAGCCCATAGTGCAACCTTCTGTTGCTTCATATTGAGACAGCAGTATACTATGCGCCCCAGGCGATATTGAGAAACCTGTACTCCATTTCCACAAGCAAGCAAGCCACTAGCAATTATACACCTGAAGCATCCAGACCTGTTGCACTATCATCAAACAAATATCTGCCTGCAGGCGGAGTAGGGTCCATAAATTAGGAAACGCAGCGGGCGGAAGACAAGACTGAGAGATGGCAGGAGGCACCCTGAACCACAAAAACACTCTTGTAGGAGGACTTTCTGATCAAATTGTCCGTATCCACCTTTTAAGAATTCACTAGCCGGCTGTTTACGAGTCACCTTTAGACCTGACATAAAAACGGAGGAAATCGCAGGCTTCAACAGCGTGTCAAAAAAAAAAAGCAACTGTGTCACCCAACATGTGGAAGAGCGAGCGGAAACGTATACTTTCAGAAGCCCTGGAATCTCAGTTCACGCCAAGATCCCATTTCCCCAGCTGTATGGTGTGGTAATTGCACAGTAATGGCTTTTTATGTGGCTGTTCTCAGGTGGCTAATTATATACACATTACATACCCCGAGTCCTTGTTATTCTAACTTTGGTAAATTAATGACACGTAGGAAACATGATGGGAAATTGTGGCCTCGGAAGAACAAATCCAGAGAGAAAAAATAAATCTGAGAGCAATGTTTTTGAGGCTCCAAACATAGTCTTATGAACCAGGTGTCAAACAAGCTGTGCCCCAATTCAGGCGCCTAATCCTTTGAAGAACAATGTCCACGAAGGTGAGTCCTTCAGGTTGGGACCTACGCCACACACCAGAAGCGACAAAACTGATGCTAAGTTTAGATGCCAACATCTAATGTCGACACAAGGAATATCCCATCAAATGTCCAACAGAATCATAAACAGTGTTAGGCAGCATTTCTGGGCCACACTTGGACTTTGGGCTTTTGAAATAAGACGGACTTGTTGGCTCATTATGACGTATTCGGTCTAGAAATGTGGCCCTCTGAGGATCCAGCCCCTTAACTGGGACACAGCTTCTGTATCTTGACATTTAAGAAACACGCCCATAATGTTACTTTTGGCAACAGGCCTTGTAAAAAAAAATGAGAGGCTGGATATCAAAATGCATCACCTACTGATGCAACTCATTTGGGGTGTTAATATTTACTTGAAGGAATCAAAACTGAAACATTGTGATGACTTTACTTCATGCAATAGGATTTTTATTGGGGGAAACATTTTCTCTTTCGGGGTAGCAGATCATGCATTGCTCTCATGGATATTTTTCTTTTAAAATAGAGGTATCAAAATTAGCTGTGGCTCTACTGGCACATTTTCTCCCCTTACAGGTTCTGACTTTGCCACTTTTTCTTTAGTCAGGTTACATTTCCTCTAAGTGCACTCCAACGCAACACAACCTGCACGAAACAACTGCTCAGCCACGACAATCATGTCATAGATTGTCCTCTAATATTTATATACTTTTACTACAATCAGCAATCTTTGCAACTTTGTTGATCCCTAAAATGTTAACCCCAACTCTATAGTCACCCTAAACCAACTAATTAATCCTCTAAACTCAACCAGGACCAGGACAACCAGGACTCAACCATTTGTCATTTCCAGTACACCTGCGTGAGACATTTAAGACTAATGACAAAATGTGTAAATCTAAGTTTACAATTCTGTCTGATATCAGGCAAATGTTACTGGAGACCGATGGGGCTTTTTAAATTTTGCTCCAAACAAAGAGCACTACTCAAGCTTTCATATTTGATGCTCTCAACATAAGTGCTCCCAAGGGAAACTCCAGAAAATGATGCATTTAAGGGCTTAGCAGTTAGCATGAGCAGCAGCAGCAGCCACAACGGCTGAACAAACAAAGAAAAAAGCATCACCTACAGGACTTTTCAACCGAGGAAAAACACAATTCAAACTGACTGACAACTGATCTCTGCACTTCACAAACTACTGATACAAGGTTCAAAGTCACAGATGATGCTAAAAAAAGAAAAAAGCTGGATTACATCTGGATTTGTGCTGGTTAAAAATATATCTCTAAAGCAAAAGTTTTCATCCAGTACGACACACAAAATGTGTTAAAAAGTCAAACATCAGCATCGTCTCTTGTTAACTTTCTCTCAAAATCAACTTCAAAGCTGACGAGGAAGTACAAAAAAAACTAAAAAAAAAACAAAAAACAAACACACAGCAAAATGCGGCCTAACTCCGCTGCTGAGGGATTTATCCCAAATCTCCCCATCTCTAAACAAACATAAAGGTGTGTTTGGTAGACAGTTGCATTTTGCATCAAGGGAAAGGCAAGCCTAAGCACATGGCTGAGGTGAACACCAGCGACAACAGTTTTTTATCACGCTGTCTCCTTTCTTCAAAGACACAGCATGAAAACGGATATGGTTGAAACTTCAAAAGTCTGGCACTCATCTTTGCGCAGGAAGCTTAGTTGTCGCATCCATCTAAGATACACCTTGCTATCTGCTCGACACACAGACGGGGTCACACACACAAATTGGGAAAGACACACTCTCGCATGTTGGTGGTGCATTTAAAGTTTACTCTCAGCTGTGGTTGATTCTGTTGTTTCTCAACCACAACATGACATGTTGGAGCCGTTGGACATATGCAGCAGTGCTAAGATGCACCCATGGATAGGCAATGTGAAAGGAGGGCATTAAAGGGCTATTCCTGCTTTCTTTTTTTTTTTTTACTTGATCATTATCCTGAAAGCACTCACGATGCATTTCCTTTGTTTGATAAATGCCTTTATCTAATCTGACTTTTTTTCTAAACCAAAACAAACAGGCAAACCACAGCAAAGAAAAACATAAAATATCATTCATCAGTGCACCTCATACTTCCGTTGGATCACATTCTGCACGAAGTCATGGTCAGTCAACACTATAGCTTTGTTTGTGCCAGCTCTGTTGGAATAATCAGAGCACATAGACTTATATAACATTGTTTCTAGTTTGTGGGGTTTTAGAATTTGTCACTGAGAAATTTCATTAAATAAAGTTCTGGATCAGATAATTTATTTCAGGAGCTAGACCTGTTATTTTGTCTTTGAGAGCTACTGGCTTCCTGACTGGGAGAAGGGGGTCTGAAATGAAAAAACTTGGTAGTTAAACACAACTGTGCAACCAATAAAATGTAGTTTATATAGTTTAGAACAAACTTCCCCCTGAGCAGTGTTTTATTCATCCCAAAAGGTCAAATGTTAACTCCCTACTTTGGTATGCTTCACTAAAATATAATATTTTTTGCAATCTGTTAAAGACATAATCAACTGTGTGGTGCTTGTGTGGAAGAAAATGCATCGCAGAAATGGATGAACGATAAAACCTAAAAAAAAAAAAAAAAACAGTATTTCCTGTTTTAATATTTAAGATCACAGCAACGCTGAGATTAATTTAAAACAACAGCACGTGGAAAATTATGATCGCACACGTCATGGCAATAAAGTGATCAGATAGCTTTATGAGTGGAGAAGCGTGCTCTCTGCATCTTATCTGAATCACAGCGCGCAATTAGGTGAGTGGATGCCTGCAAATCATTACTGTTCAAAGTGAGACGCGACTAATAAAAAACTGAGGCAACGAGCGCCAAACGAGCCCATCTGTTCAAAGAACAACTTTTAACCCCAGGGATCAAAATACTTATTACACAATTCTGTTGTAAAACACCGAAACTGCTACTTGAAGTCCAGATTAAAAACAACTGCTTTTAATTAATCTTTGCCAGACTGATGAGATTGTTTGGACATATTAGATTAGTCCGCGTGCAAAACAGCTGATACGCTTCACATAAGCGTTTCCATGGTGGTGAATTATATTTCTTTATCATTACAGCAAGTTATAGTGTTTCTCCATTAGTCATTTTATTGGGACTATAATGCAAAAATCGCATTTCTCTCCTATAGCGCTGCTGTAATATTAATTCAGGGTGTCTTAAGTGTTTAATATTGAGTCACGTTACTTGTTCATACATTTCTAAGATACTTTTATCATTGTGTACCAATAAAATATTGGTATAACCTCACTTATTTTCCCCATTGTTCGCAATATCCTTTTTGATTTTATAATATTTTACGCTTTTACGCATGACGCATGCTTTCCTTCTAAAATAATAGGCCGTTTTTTTCAGGACCCCAATAAATATTTCTGGCTAGAAGCAAGTTAATCCTGCTTTTACATATACTAGGGAGCACCCTGGGTATAATCTATACCCACCATCAGCATTATTCACATTAAAAAGCTGCACAGTAACATGCAAACACATGCACATAAAAACGAGTTGAATGAGGGAGTAAACATACCTGTAGCTGGAAATAGAGTACCAGAAAATGTAAACACCTATGTGGAGAGAGAAGGAGAGAGAAGGGAGGAGGGGAGTGAATCACACAGGCAATTACATGAAGGATACACGCAGCCTACCTGGATGAAAGCAATGCGCAAATATGAAGCTTTTGGCGACTTCTATTGGTAAGAATGCATGGTTTAATGTGGAAAAGGAGCAAACGGAGATGTGGAACACTTACAGGTATATGAACCTCGAAGGCAGCACAGACATCTTGACTCGCAGAAATACACCTGAAGTACACCTGCTTGCACAGATTTAGAGCCCCGGGAAAGGTTGGCGAAATCGCCCCCCTCTCTCTTGCTTTCGCTCCCCTGCGCGTCCTTTACGCACACAACTCCGGCGGTAAGTAGGAGATTGAATCCCAGTGTAAGGATAGATCACTGGAGAGCTGCAACAGAGTCACGGAGTGCAACATTAGGTGTTTCCTTGTTGGGGGGGAATTATCCAGAAGATTATTTTTCAGTCTCCTCCGCTCCCCGAAATCCCGCAACGTCTCCGTAAATCGGTGCCAAGCGTGGAGAGGATTCAGAAAATTCAACCTCTCCAAAAACAAAAATCCCCTCGCTCAAAAAATATCCTTCGCGCACCTATAGCCAAGTTTCCCCACAATCCCAATCCTGCTGCTCCAGCGATCACAACCTCCTCAGCTCCGTCCGTACCTGCGGGGGATTTCTACACCTTGCATGGGTCATTTTATTCTACCAAGTGCTGCGGTGGAGAAAAAGCAAAAGCGGTGAATAACAAAACGCCCTTCCACCAAAAACAAGTCGCTAAGAGTGGCCAAACAAACTTATCCAGGCTTACAAAAAGAAGTTATGTTTTCAAAAAAAACCGTAGTGTGGAAATCGGCAGCGGCGGCAGCAGCAGCGGATCCCTGGAGAGGTTTTGGGGGCTGATGATGGCGCAGCAGTGCTTGTCAGTGGTGTTTGTGCGTCTGCGGCTTGAGATTTGGGCACAGAGAGGCTTTTTTGTTGTTGGTGGGTGGAAACATGTCAGCGGTTTGCACCTGATAGGGTAATCTTGGAGAGACCATCAGCTTGGAGAGGGTTTTTTCCTCTCGGTGGGCAAAGCGCTGCGCAGAGGAGAACAAGGACAAGGAGATGAACTGCTTTTTGGTTTGTTTTTTCCCGCTTATTAAAATTAATATTTATACTTTTCCTAAAGTAAATTTGGGAAATGATCGAATTTGTGTTTGGATAAAGACAAAGCAAACTGATTTTAACGTCTAATTTGAGGCATGGGATGATATAAAGTATTTTTTTGTTTATTTATATGAGTTTTATTGGACCATGTTTTCATTTATCTTAAGTTTTGCGTCAAATCATATTTTTAGTTTCAGTTTTTATCACCTTAAGGCCTATATAATGATAATAAATATCAGTATTAAGTATTGTCATTAGTATTATTATTATTGCATTAGTGAACAGTGACAGAAACTGCTTCTTCTTCCTCACTGATTAGTCGTGCCTTTTAAAGTGCTGCAGGTTTGTGGATTGGCCTCGGCTCTCCCAGACAGCATTCAAATGCAGGTTGTTGTCGACCTCGATTTTTTTCAATAATGTGCTATAACTTATCCCGCATTTAAATGAAAGAGAGGTGTGAATGTGTTTACGAGCTGGCAGCAGTAAAGCGAACCCACATCCCTGCTGCCATTAAAAAAAGAAGAGGAAAAAAAAAGAAGTAAAAAAAAAAAAAAAAGAAAAAGGAAACCTTTGTGGTTCGTCTTTATTGTCCCATTAAAACTGGATCCTCGGCATTCCGGTGCCATTGATATTCAAAATGAATCTAAATGATTACATACAAAACTTCCCATGTTGGGGATTTCAAAGGGCCTCCTGTGGTGAGTTGTGTGGGGAGTGTTTGAGTAAGAGTTGCAGCTGCTGATCAACACAAGCAAACAGACCTGAAAATAAACAAAAATAAATGATTTCTCTGGAAAAAAATATTAATTTGTGGCTTTTCTTTAAAAGACTTTATGTAGTGATTTACAATGACAAGTTAAATCATTTGTGTTGTGTGCAAGTACAAATGTGGATAAAGTTGGTTGATGTGGGTTTACTCAGTGATTCATTGCTGTCTGTCTAACAAGAAGGCTTGATCCTGTCAACCACAGTGCACTTTAATCATCCCTGTAACACAACTGATGTATAATGTCATTTAAAGCTTGACTAATTTAGCCTTGTCTGCCTCAGGGAGGGAAATCACAGCAAAAAAAGGGCAAATAGTAATTACCCAGGAAGATAATTTGATGATTTCTTTACAAATACAAGGCTTTGGTTCTGTTTGATCAGGTAAGGCTTACATTAGCTGCTGCTCGCCACTGATCAAGATTTCTCTTAAAGTTCAAAATAAAAGCACCTGACAACTGATTTAGAGAAGGCAGGCTGATAAACAGCAATTACCACAGCGACTGTGATAGAGCCAGCATTGTGGAGTCACTCATCGCCTCTTAAGCACATGTTTGTGACAAACTTCTCGGAGCATGACTGTAAATCCACAACTGAGGAAGGAGAGCGCAGCAGCAGGCTTGATGTGGCCACCTGTGAGTCACAGGCAGGAGGAAATGTATCTCTGCTCGTGGCAAAAGGGAAGATCCCAGATTTTTTTTTCATGAGGACTTTTATCATTTTATCAGACTTAAGAGCAGGAGAAATAAGTAATGGCTGCAAGCCAAGTCTAGGATGGTTGTGCCATGCACTTGTCTGGACAGCCACTCACTTTGGCAACTGGCCAATCAAGAGTCAGAGGGACAGATTTATTCTAGAAATATAAACTAATATGTGGCACAAAATAATTCAAAGTGGACTTAAAAAGCACTTTTATGCTCCACTTACACATAATCTGACTGACTAAAGGGATTTATAATGACCTAAATTAAAGGACTTTATTGGCTATGTCTTGCTCGGTCCCCTTTTAGGACCCACTTGTCATTTTACAGTGTTTATCCATATCTGTCTCTGTTGAAATTTTGAAGCTGTTTAAGTTTCTGCACCAAATCCACGAGAGGAAACAACCTGTGCAGCTGTTGCATGTGGAGCATAAAGTGATACTAATTAGGGATGTCAGATTTGGTTAATTTTGCTTTTGATAGCCTGACATGCATCAACTGGTTACTAATTGGTTCATTTCTAAAAAAACAAAAGAAAAAAAAAGCCAAATTTAGAGATGGTGAAATTTTATGTTTTGTGATGTAAATATGTTGCCTTTTATTTTCTGTTTGCTGGCAGACAGCTGGCTCACCACATTAATGTGCGGGACCATGGTGCTTACTGCCCACCATACAGTTTCCACTGGTTAGCCTCAGCCGTTCTGCCCTGCGCACCTCCCGACCCTAGTTGGAGGTAGCTAGCGGCACTGCTCATTCACAATTACTGCTGGTTGCAGAAAGATAGTGGCCAACTTCTGGCCTCAAAACCCCTTTAGCATTGTTAACTACGTTAGCGTAGCAGAGCGTCCTGGGTTTGCCTAACTGAATAATTCATAAAACAATAAAAGGGATGCTCCGACAGCAACGGCTGCCCATATAGTTTTCTTCACACCATAAAGTCTCACACATGCATGATCCCCCTAAAACTTTCTCCGCCCTACGGCAACTGAAAAGGGGACTCACAATATACAGTCTGTTACATTAGCACCACTAGCTGTGCTGACACTGCTAGCCATGCTAACAGAGCTAACAGTGCTAACAGAGTTAACAATGCTAAACAGGGTTCGCGGCTCAAAACCGAGCTGCTTACACACCAGGGCGACCTGGCGGTAGGCCGAAGCATGGACACACTGTTTCCACAACTACGCTGTTGGGTCGGGACGGCGTTATCAGTGTCAATCACCAAGTAAGTGGCGCCGCTAGCTAGCTCTCACAAGACCCGAATGGTGCCAGAGCAGCAAAATTGACCTTTAGACAAACATACATACGCAGTCAAAATATTCTCAGTGGTTAACCAATTAAGGCCTGATTAACCGATTAATGGTTAACAGTTGAGATCCCTCATACTAATACAGGGTGCTGTGTATAAAAACAAAATGTCTCATTTGTGGGACTCATTACAGGCTTGAAAGGTTGGCTCACACCATTTATAAAACAAATACAAGTACGCTAGCTTTCTCGCCTGTTTTACTTGTTGACTGTGGATTATCCAGATTAAGTGTGACTCTGTTTTTGCTGTTGATTTTATTTTAAATGTAATCTGTTGATGCTTTGACCACAAAGTAAATTCCATTTACCTCCACTGTGATGGTGTGGTGGCAAGAATCTCAAAACCTGAGCAACTAAAATCAAAACTATCCTCATGTGAAGATAATGTTGGAAGTATCTGAGAAAATATATGATTGTTAAATTTGGGTGAACTCACCCTTTAAAGAGAAGGCCTTTCAATGTGGATTGAAAAACTAAATTTTCACAGTATCAGTCAAAAGAGTTGGTGCTCTGACAAATTGCCTGCTGACACTATATGAAAAAGTGAAAAAATAAAAAAGATAAAACAGCAAGAATCAATCAAATGCAGTATGCTGCTGGTCGAGCATAACAAGAGTGAGCTTTATGAATGGGGAGAGCTGTTTCACAGTCCAGTTTCTGAGGCTCGGAGGAGGGAGCGAAGGAGAGGGGGGGCAGCCACTCAAGAGTTGGGATAAGGTTACCCACAGAGATTAGCTGACAAGAGCGAGGGAGTGAGAAAAACAAGCAAGCAAGTTAAAGGTCTTAGTTTACCTGGCTTGCTGTGCTTGGCAGCCAATGAAAGTGCTTTCAAACCACAGATTCAAACGCTGCCTGAAAGGATCCTCTGCAGCCACATTTGCCAATTCTATTTCAATTCTGATGAAAACAAATTTCAACTTTTAAGTCGAGAGGTGCAAAGTGGCGAATGATGTTATTTAGATGACTCCCAGACTCCTTTCAAGCCTTTGAATTTGAACCTCGTGCAGTTATGCGTGTCTGTCCGCAGCGACGGGACTGTGGGAATGTCACCGAGGATATCTCATTGAAGGAAAAGGAGGAGGCATCTGAAGGCGGGCGAGCGCTCAGCGGTTCAAAGGGCCCTAGCAGGCATTTAGGGCTTGACAAAAGAACTTGGCAGATCAGTAAGTGAAGCCCAATGTACTACATTAGTGTCAGGACCCCCTCCGCGTCCCTCCCACTTTGCACTTTCATCTCTGACACGGACATATTGACTTTAAGGAAAGGAGGGGTGCCAGGGCCGCCAAGGAGGGGTGGGTAGTTCGGGGGGGTGTATGAGCCCCATTCAATTCTCAAGGTGAGGCGATTGATGCAGAGGGGTGACCACTGACTCATATAAGCCACCCAGAAGCCCTTTTTTTTTTTTTTAAACTAGAAGTCACAGGCCGACAAGCGTGTGAGACCTAAACGGGACGGCCCTCTTCCTCTCATCTCACTGAAATCAGCCTCACCCCATTAGTATATGCTGACCCCACCCCCGCCCCTCCAAACACACACTCACATCCCTTTTCACACTGTCGGCCATGCCCTTCTGCAGGCTACTGAAGTCCGATGGCCAGCGTGGGTTCGGGTCGTAACGGGGTCGCGACACCTTGACATTGCGGAGGGTGACAGAGAGAGGAGCCAGAGGAGGGAGGGCGCAGCTAAAGCCAGCTACCCCAGAGACCTTTCAAGTTATCACCTGAAGGAGAGGGAGGAGGGGGGGAAAAAAGCGGGAAGTGTTTTAGTAATTTGTCCCCCGTCACACATTGTTTGCATGGAGTCATTAAGGGCCATTTAGGTTTTGCCTTGAAGGGAAGAGGCCAGAGAATTTGGGTGCGGGCGCTCTTTGGGGGAGAGGCCGTGGGAGTGAAGGGTGAAAATTAAAGCGTTGCTCTTCAACAAATCATCTCTAAGCACCCCGGTACACGCAGAACATATTAATGTTTCCATTGACTTCAGTCGCCTGTTTGACGTTAATGATGATTT